GTTTTCATCTTTCCACTTCGGCGTCATTTGATTCCAACATCTGTTATTTATGTTTAACTTATTTAATAATTGATTAGCTAGTACGGGGACAATTGGCTGTAAAGCTAACCCAGTAATTCTTAAAGTCTCCATAGTTATATGTAGTATACATTCCAGTTTATTGACATCTTGCCTAGCTAATTCCCATGGTTTATTATATTCAAAAAATCGATTGCAACACTGTAATGTGGCTATTATTTCATCTATACCTTTGTAAAAATTTAATTCTTCGTAATGATTTCCAACTATATCTGCAAGCCCCTCTAATTTGTTATTTAATTCGATGAAATATGAATCAGCTAATAKCCTTTCAATCTGTAATAAATCTAATTTTGGATAACTGAGATTTGGGTTAATGGCTTTTCCACAGCATCGGTTCAATAGGTTACCCAATGTATCTGCTAATTCAGCATTTAATATTCTTTTAATTTTCAGATCACTGTAGTTACCATCACTGTGAGCTGTACCTTCTCTAAGCAAAAAATATCTTAAACCAGATTCAGTAAACTGGCTACCAGCATTTATTGGATCTACTACATTTCCTTTAGTTTTAGACATTTTTTCATCATTAACTTTCCAATGAGAATGTACAAAAATTTGTTTTGGCAGTTGTAAACCTGCAGCTATTAAGAATATGGGCCATAATATTCCATGGAATTTCAAAATATCTTTACCACATACTTGGACATTTGGAGGCCAAATTTTGGTGTCTGGATAACCAGAAACTGTTAAGTAATTAACAAGAGCATCAAGCCAAACGTATATAGTCTGTGTATCGTCTCTCGGTACTGGAATACCCCAACTAACCCGATTCTTCGGTCTTGATAAAGATATATCGTATAAATCATTTACCTCTCTATTCAGTATTTCATGGAATACTTTCGGCTTAATTCTATCTGGTTTACTCAACCAATTTTGAAGTTCATGTTTAAAAGGACGTAGGTCAAATTTATAATTGTCTTCTTCAGCCCACTCAACTGGCCTTCCTGATTCTTTACTAACACGTACATTATTAACTAATTCTATTTGATCTTGTGATAAAAAAGTTTCATCAGCTGTGCAATACCACCCAGCATACTTTCCTTTTCTAATATATGGTTGTAATTTACTCCAAAAATAATGTACACATTTTTTGTGGTTTTCCGYTGTTGTTCTTATGAAAGATGTATGGCTAATATGAAATTTATCAAATGTAGTTTGATAACTACTTGAAATTTTTGTACAATAGTTTTCCACAGATATTTTACAWTTCTCAGCGGCTTTTTGTACCTTTAATCCATGTTCATCAGTACCAGTACTAAAAATAATATTTAAGCTTGGGTTAAGTAATTTTTGAAATCTTGCAGAAGCATCAGCAATTAAAGCACTGTAAAGATGCCCAATGTGCGGACCTAAAATAAAAAAATATATTGATATATTATTAATTTATATATATATTTTTAATACATATTAGAAATAAATAATATTTGTCATTATGTACACTGTTGTACCTGGTAGAGCAATAGCAGTTTTATTGAAAAAACATATAATTGTTCAATCGTATATATACTGTTGAATACATTTTTTTCAGTGACTAATAGGTTAAAGTATTATTTTATTTTTAGATTCTGATTGTTTTATTACTAAAGTGTAATCAAATTGTAAGCATATTCATTTTTTAGATATTTATGATAATATACTAATATTTTATAAACATGAATAACCAAGTGATTTTTTTACATCCCTAAAAAACAGAATAGACAGGTTAATTATGTGTTAGAGCCATTTTTCTTAAAACTGTATTTCRGTTTTATTTTTTATTTTTTAAATTCAAAAGTTAAAAAAAATTACTACTAAGGAACATTGGTTATTTACACAAGAGTGATGTAAATATAAAAATKTCCATCTTTTCTACAATATGTCATATTTTTACTGGAATGAAAAAGGGGAAAAAACAAAGTTAATACATTTATTGCTATATTTTGTACTTTTTTTACCTTTCTTTTTTGAAGAAAATTTTCATAGGGATTTCGCATAAAAACATTCTGTGGTTCGGTATTTCATTACCACAAAATGTTTAAGAAACACTTTGTTGGAAAGTAAGGGCCACTGGGCTAAGTCCATATACAGTTCAGACTTTAATGTCAACTTTAAAAATTTAAAAGTTTAGGTATTT